CACACCTGAGCCTCAACTTTCGCGGCCCGGTACCAAACGACTCACGGACCGGTACCGGTCTGAGGCCCGGGGGTTGGACCGCTGCTCTAGCTGATAGACTTGGAGATCTCCCTACGACATCACATACGATTAACACGTAGCAGCCTGCCAGCACACGAAACATTTTCTTCCTCTAGTTTATAGTATCCAATTCTTTGAAATGACTGATGTGAAATTTATTTTGTGCTTCTCAGTTCATACCTCCACTGTCGCTGGGCTGACCTGGAGGAACTAGAAAAGGACAAGAGGATACACCAGAAGGTCAAGAGGTTTAAGGCCAAGCAACAACTCAACACCTTTATAACTGAGGTAAGACCAAAACGCTGCACCACAAACCAGACCTTCCGCTGCATGGAAGTAACCACTCACAAGGGTCAGACTTTGGCTCAAAGGACTGCTTCTGAATGGAATGTGTCAAGAAATGTTGCTGGCTATAAAATTGTTTTTTCCCCAGTTTTACTTTATACACACACTGACTTGAGTTTCACACAGAGCTGTTAAATAGAAAAGCTGGGAGATAAAACTAAGAACACATTTCATACAGAGGAATTTACTCTGCGAGGCCTCATTATTTCATATTCAGTGTATCTTAAAACTCCGCTTCTTTTCTCTGCAGATGGATGATGAGCCTTTTAACCCTGACTATGTGGAGGTGGACCGTGTCCTGGACGTTTCAGAGAGCACAGATGAAAATGGAGAGGTGCTTTGATCTCTTTCATTGGGCTTGAGCCTCTCTCTGTTTTTTTCTCTACACCCACACTCACCAAAGCGCCCTGTGTTTTATGTGTGCAGACGGTGACCTTATATCTGGTGAAGTGGTGCAGTCTGCCTTACGAAGACTCCACCTGGGAGCTGAAGGCCGACATCGACCAGTCCAAGATAGACGAATTTGAGCGCATCGGAGCACGCACGCCCAACACTAAGAGAGTGGTGAGTGGCTGTGCTTTGCGTGCTATCTGTCTCCTAGTCTCCTCCTTATAGGCGTGTTTGTGTGTATTGGCCTGCTGTCTGCTCCTTCCTCTTCCAGATTTACAGCTCCCTTAACTGCTCTCCACAGGGCCACGTTTTTGTGGTCTTACACACTCGCACACATACGCCCTGCTCTTGTGGCCAAGCCAAACCACTAACAGTGTGTTTAATGCTGAACAGAAGCAGCTGACTGGCTGTGGTCTCTCCTTCCATCACTCTTTCCTCAGCCTGCATCCATCTATTTTAACTCCTGCCTACTGTTTCTCCTTAAGGGCCGTGCTAGTAATGCTCCCATCATATAGTGGCAGCATTGGGAGGCAGTTTTATTTTTAGCCTCATTCACAGTGTGGACCAAGGGCCTTTTCCCCAGAGGATGAATTCCATTCATTTAGTTGGTCAAAAAATCCTTAATAACCCAAAATCTGTTTCATTTGTAATATGTGGTTTAAAAAGTGAGGCATCCTAAGGCTGCTGACAGAAACCATGTGTGAAAGATATAACCCTTTCATTTATTAGAATGGATGCAGTCTGTCAGTGCAGCGGGGTACTAACACTGTGTTTTTTTTTATTCAGCAAGGTCTCCTGCCAAAAAACCCTGGGTCATCTAGCCAAAAAGTTGAATTAGGTTAAACTTTTCCTGCAATGTGACTTTGTCCTGCAAGCTAATCAAACACGCATACAGCTCACTCGCTAAAATACCTGCCACCAATGGCTACAACCAGTTGTAAAGTTCTGTATTAAAAGCTGTGCAGTATTATCACATTAATTTGTCCAAGTGTGCATCCTGGATTGTATTTGATTGTCTCAACAGCACTTTAAACAGCACGGTGCTGCTAATGCCTTTAGCTAATTTGGGACTGAAACTTTACTTACCCAGAAAGTGGCGCTGTTTAGTGTAAACACAACTGAAGTCGGGGTGTTATGTAACAGAAAACGAACACTGAATGTATTAAAAGAAAAGCTTGTCATGCTCATGACCAGTTGTCATGTTTTCCGTACTGGCTGGCTCCTGTCTGGCCATCCATGTTCTTTGGATAGATTAAAGGATCTCCACCTGCAGTTGGATGCCTTCTAAAATCTTGTCATCAGAGAGCCCAAGGGTCCGTGCAGACGTCCGCATACCTGTAGGCGTTTTTGTTTTTTCTATGACCAGCCATACTTGTTCATGGAGACTTGACTTTACAATGCCAAGTAGCAGACTTGAGTAGATTACAAAGAAGTAAAACTGGAATGACCACTCTGCCGTCGTGTCTCCATCTACCTACACAATACAATCAATGCTCAACTCCACCATTTTGGACTGTCGTTGTCATTCTGTGCTGAAGATGCTCTGCAAACAGAACAAGGGGCAGTATTGCCTTCAATAGTTCTAGATGCTGGAGTTACACTCCCAGGACGAAGACTCACAGGAGAGGCAGTGTTTGCAAAGGAAAACGTGTGAAGGGTGAAAGCTTTTAGTGAGCAAAAGCACCCAGAGCAACACACATATAATCCTAACCCCTCAAACACACAAACAGTATCTACATCTTTATGAAACACTGCAGTCATCAACGCTGACTGTTTTTTAATAACCCTATCTGTTTTATTGTTGTGTCCAGGATCGGCCTCCTGCAGCTGACTGGAAAAAGCTGGAGGGCTCCAGGGAATATAGGAACGGCAACGCACTCAGGGAATACCAGCTAGAAGGCCTCAACTGGCTAACTTTCAACTGGTACAACTCGTAAGTCACCATTAATTGCATTTTCTTTGAATTAGTCTAACTGCTTCTGTCAGTCTGCACATGTGATATCACCTTATTAATATTCTTAAGTGGGCATTAAAGTGAATATTAAATAGCCCTGTGGTGCACTGCTGTTTAAGCCTTCCCATTGGCGTCATCAGCCTGAAATGTACGCCCTATCACACAAGTGTTCAGGAAGGCAGCTCGACACAAATGGAACTGAAATGACTGTTTTAAACTGGAGCTGTTGTGTTTTTCATATTTTTCTGCGGTGCTCAATTCAGGGTTTGTTTTTTTTTTTTTTAATATAGCGCCAAATCACAGCAACAGTTTCCTCAAGGCACTTTATACTTTTAAGCTAAAGAGTTCTCAGAACTCTACAGTGTTATGGAGAACCAAACAATCCCCTATTAGCGAGCGCTTTGCGGTGCTGAGATAGAAGAAGTCCCCTCCAGCAGAACCAGGCTCAGGGAGAGGCAGCAATGAGCAGTTGGTTAGGTCAAAGAGAAGAAGAAGAGAGCATAGGGAGACAGATGATCACATCAGTGTATGCACACATAATCCCTGCGAGGTGAAAGCTGAGCCTCCAAACTGGTCAGAAAGTTTTGTTCGACACAGTTTTTCCTACTCTAGGCCCTGCACTCGGAAAGAGTAGTTATCCCTAATATGGAGGTCACAGGCACATCAAGAAGGGGAAAAACTGAGGGGCTGGATCAAAGTATAGCATAAAAGTTGATTATTGTGAACTGTAGAGCACAAGAATAAATACTTTGAGCTAGAAATAAGCAGAAAACTTCTGTTGTGCTTTTATGTGCACCAATGTGAATAATTGTCATGGATATTTCTGGAACATTTGGTATCTATTGATGGAATTCAGTCAAATCCAACAGGAGAGCTAACACCCGAATATTTTCCAGCTTTTTTTGTCATTAGAACACTGATTTGGAAAACAGATTTTCCAAAGGAGTGAAGCAATGTAATAAGCAAAGAGCTTATGGAAGACTGTTTAAGAAGTTTGTGGTCAGTGTGCGCAAATACAGGTGATATAAAAGGCGTCTGTCTGCCTTTGTCTCCCCACAGACGTAACTGTATCTTGGCTGATGAGATGGGTCTGGGGAAGACCATCCAGTCAATTACATTCCTCTATGAGATTTACATGAAGAGCATTGAAGGGCCGTTTCTGGTCATCGCTCCGCTCTCCACCATTCCCAACTGGGAGAGAGAGTTCAGAACCTGGACTGAGCTCAACGTGGTGGTCTACCATGGCAGTCAGGCCAGCCGGAAGACCATCCAGGCCTATGAGATGTACTACAGAGATGCACAGGTGAGAGGGAATTAAACATTTAAATATCAAATACCTTTTCCCCTTTAATACATTTGCCTTGTACTATGAAGCAAACCTATTCAAAGATATTCGGGGTATCCGTCTGAGCTGGATAAATGTTCACACACAGCTAGTTATCTATTCAATAAGTTATCCCCGGGTTTCCTCTGGGTTTGACATCAGGGGTGCAATTAACAGCATCATAACAATTATGGAGACGTGTACTAGTAGCAGAGTTGCTTATGTTTACCTTTAAATCCTGCTTCGCAGTATAGGCTTTAAAGTCAAATATTTCATTACGCATCTAACATATTTGTGACAGCTTGTATGAGGAACAATGAGAAGGATCATAGGTGTAGATTAGGGAGGCAGAAACAGGATGCTGCTGTGTGAGAAGGTCTCTAGGTCTGAACACCACCTCAGCTAGCTGGGGATGGACGGCGCTCCTCTGCTGCATAAGCTCTTTTAGTCCTCTAGCTTTAAGCCGGAAACTGTAAGCTCTTCTTGTACAATGCCGCTAACAGCTTTTAGTGTAACCTGTGTCACAGCAAGCCTGCGAAGCAGCATTTTAGTGTGCTTGCCTAGCTTCTTGTTCATAATCCAGACTGGGGTAATCCTCAAGGTCGTGGGGAGCCTATCTGCTTTCTCACACGCACCAAACGCTCGGGACTTTTCCAGGCAGATCTTTACAGATTATGATAGCAAGAGGAGGTTTGGGGGCGTTTGACCTGGTTTGAATTAAAAGCTGCATAACAACTAGAAATACTCAAGAAACAACACCGAAACCAGACGCTCAGGTGAAGACATCAGAGCGTTAACGTCCAGACTTTTTCTGTTTCAAAGTCTGTCTTTGACTCGCGTTTGCAACAAATGGTGACTGTTTTGACCTTCATGCTTTTCCTCTTTATTTTTTTTATCACTTCTCCAGGGTAAAATAATAAAGGGAGTGTATCGGTTCCATGCGGTGATAACAACTTTCGAGATGATTCTGGCTGACTGTCCAGAGCTGCGCAGCATCCCGTGGCGCTGTGTGGTGATAGATGAAGCCCACCGTCTCAAAAACCGAAATTGCAAACTACTGGAGGGACTCAAAATGATGGACATGGTGAGTGGCAGATGTATGTGGTTTTAATTTTCTTTGATTCACAGGACCAAAGGACAAATGTGACTTTCTTCAGTAGGTTAAAGCTCTGTCAACATTTCCTGCTTGCATTTTTAGAAACTCTAAATCTTTCTTCACCGTCTCTCTAGGAGCACAAAGTTCTGTTGACAGGAACTCCTCTCCAGAATACCGTGGAGGAGCTCTTCAGCTTACTGAACTTTCTGGAGCCGGAGAGATTCCCATCTGAACAAACGTTCATGACTGAATTTGGAGACCTTAAGACTGAAGAACAGGTAACGGGGATACTCTGTGCTGTAGGACGACTTTTCATGTTTGCTGAATTCTCACTACAGTGACATGTCCTGTGTGTATATCAGGTTCAAAAACTGCAGGGCATTCTGAAGCCCATGATGCTCAGAAGACTGAAGGAGGATGTGGAAAAGAACCTGGCCCCGAAGGAGGAGACCATAATTGAGGTAGAAACCTTTTACCAGAACAGCAGTGATTCTGCAGTTGCCAAACAAAGCAAATATAATAAAAGGGGGGAAAAAACATTAAGCCCACTTCAGTTCTGGCAAGACTGGAGTTTGGAATTAAAATGATTTGAATAAATGACTTTTTGTTTTGTTAGGTGGAGCTTACCAACATCCAGAAGAAATACTATCGGGCCATTCTGGAGAAGAACTTCTCTTTCCTGTCCAAAGGAGGGGCTGGAGGGGCTGGAGGCGGAGGAGCCAGTGTCCCCAACCTCCTCAACACCATGATGGAATTGAGGAAATGCTGCAACCACCCTTACCTCATTAATGGTACATACTCAGCTCCCCTCCCCAAAATGAAAGAATCACTTTGTAATTCTCAATGTTTGTAACTGTAAACTTGTTTGTTGCACAGGAGCGGAAGAAAAAATCATTGAGGAGTTCAGGGACTCCCATAGTTGTGGGGCAGATATGCCAGACATGGCCCTCCAAGCCATGATTCAGGCTGCCGGAAAGCTGGTGCTCATTGACAAGCTGCTTCCCAAACTCAAAGCTGGCGGTCACCGAGTCCTGGTGTTCAGTCAGATGGTCCGGTGTCTGGACATCCTGGAGGACTACCTCATCCAGAAACGGTGCGAAGTTTGCGGAAGTTAAATATCAAGTTTTTGTCAGCATGGTTGTATCCAATACTCGATTTACCCAAAAGTAACTCGCTGAACTAACTGCGGATGCTTGTGTTAAACATGACTAAAGTGTCAGATGATAAGGTTCGACTGCTCTAAGCGCTCGTGTCATGCAGATATCTCTAACTTAATGAACTCGAGTACAGACATCTCACTTTGACTCGTACTGGAATGCTCACATGTGCAGTGAAACGCAGACCGAGAAACAAAACGGAGCGTCACTTTTCAACATCAGCTTTCAGCAGAGCAGAACAAAGAGCGGATCTGCATTTCATCGGGTTTATTTTAGCCGAGATGAGCCATTAAAATATGGTCAGACTGGCATTGCAGGCCGCTTGAGACAACTTCTGCTTCTGCTACAAAACTTGTACTGCTGTGTGCAATTCCACTTTGACTGTAATTGTGACCGGTTGTCTTGCTCCGTGTCCAGATATCCATATGAACGTATAGATGGTAGAGTTCGTGGTAACCTGCGGCAGGCAGCCATCGACCGCTTCTCTAGACCAGACTCGGATCGTTTTGTCTTCCTGCTGTGCACGAGAGCTGGAGGACTCGGCATCAACTTGACTGCAGCAGATACCTGCATTATCTTTGACTCTGACTGGAATCCCCAGAATGACCTCCAGGTACCACCCCCACCCCCGATGTGTGCTCTGAAATAAATCTGCGCTGCATCTTCAATCATCTCCAAATGAATAGTGTCCTTGAGAATCAACAGAAAAAAGCAGAAATGTGTTTAAAACTCTAAATGCGTCTTCTTCCAGGCCCAGGCAAGGTGTCATCGTATCGGCCAGTCCAAGTCTGTCAAGATCTACCGCCTAATCACCAGGAACAGCTATGAGAGGGAGATGTTTGACAAGGCCAGCCTGAAGCTGGGACTTGACAAGGCTGTTCTCCAGAGCATGAGTGGACGAGAGAATGCCAACAGCGGGGTGAGACCTCACACCAGCGGTTATATCCACACATAACAGCATCAGTCCACTTTAAAGTTCATCCTTCACATTATCATATCCTTCTTCTTTGGGTTAAGCACCTGACCCTTTAGAAAGAGAGAGGAAATAAATATTTTCCTTCATTGTCCAGGTCCAGCAGATGTCAAAGAAAGAAATCGAGGACCTGCTGAGAAAGGGAGCGTACGGAGCTCTTATGGACGAGGAAGACGAAGGCTCAAAATTCTGCGAGGAAGACATTGACCAGATCCTCCAGAGACGAACGCACACCATCACCATTGAGTCCGAGGGCAAGGGCTCCACTTTTGCTAAGGTGACAAAAAAATTCCTGTGAGGGCGGAGGGGAGGAATCTGTATATGAAAAATAAATCGCTAACAAGTCTTCCTCTGTCTGCAGGCTAGTTTTGTTGCGACAGGCAACCGAACAGACATTTCCCTGGAGGATCCAGACTTCTGGCAGAAATGGGCAAAGAAGGCTGAGCTAGACCTGGATGCCATCAATGGACGGGTACTACACACATGTGGCAAACACAAGTACCTGGCGTCTAACGCGCCACACAGTAACATGCAATGTAGCCATAAATCCACAGAGAAGCGTCACACCGTGTATCTAAATACTTCACAACGTTGAGGACGCAAAGCTCTGGGCTGAGTTCTGTTATTTAAAGGGGGTTACGATAGTTAATGGTAGTTAAATAATGTGAGACGGCTTGAGAGTGAGACAGTCGGGACAGAAGGGAGGTACAGAGAGGGGGGAGAGAGATTAATATTGACAGTTGGGAATCTCCTCTCTTCCTTAATTACCCATGTTTCCCTGCTCGTGTGTGTGTGTGTGTGTGTTTGAGCGAGAGAGAGTAAGCTGCTTAGCTCCACTTAACAGAGCACAGATGCCTGGAGGGTACAGAGATATCACTTAGGCTCGTGCTCACACATACACGCACAGACACACAACCTCCGTCACATTCTTGCACACACACACACACACACACACTGAGCGCTCTGCTAACTGGTAGCTTTATATTCCTGCGTTCCTTCGCTCTCTATATCATTGGCCTTTTTCTTTTATTACCCCCCTTCCCCCTCGTGTGTGTTTCTCCCTCCTGACGACTTCTTCTCCGTGCTCCCTTACTGCCTCTCTTGTGGAGGACCCTCCACTGGAACACTTAATCCAGCTCTACGAGCATGAATACAGGCCTCTCCCCTGGGATTTCTTATTGTACCGTGTTAAAATGGAAATGACTGCAGCTCTGTGATAATTGTGGAACTAACTACTGCCCTGTTTGTGCATATTAATGGGATTGCAAGTGGGTGGGGGTGGTTCAAATTAATTGAACAAAAATGTAATTCATTAGACAACATAATTAATGCCAGTTTATGTTTGAGCTAGGCAGCAAATTTCTCAGTATCATGTATGAAACGAGGGGCCAAATATCCAATTATTCAGATTTGGTTCAGGGGGATGCCATGTATTCAGGAAGTGGAGAAGTCAAATATACACGAAATGTACAAATGGGGCCATTTTCATGGGAATAAAGCAGACAGTGCTCTTCATATTTCAGGCCACCTGTAACTGAACACAGGTTTTTAATAAAGTGACAAAAATTATTCAAACAAAACTGTTTTGTCTCCAGAACACGCTGGTTATCGACACACCCAGAGTGAGGAAGCAGACACGGCACTTCAGCAGCGTCAAAGAGGAAGAGATGCTGGAGTTCTCAGAGTTGGAGAGCGATGAAGATGAGCCCAGCAAACCCTCATCCAAACCACGGCGGCCCCAAGACAAAACGCAGGGCTACCCTCGATCGGAGTGCTTCAGAGTGGAGAAGAACCTGCTGGTCTATGGGTCTGTCACATCTTCATGTTTCTTGTTGACTAAATTCAATGGCAGCTGCTCTTTAGCGTTCTGTTAGCGCTCTTGCTACACTGCTTTCACATAAATATGTAGTGGACCTCGGCACTCCCCTTGATCTAAAGCAAACAGCTTTAGCTTTTGGGTCCAAGTTTTTAGCAGCAACTAGTAGATTGCATATCCCTCTCTGTGACAGGAAATTGTAAAAAAAGAACAATAACCAGGTTATTGTGGAGTATTGCTGAAAATAAATGGCTGCATGTAGGCCGTGTCAGCATAAACTGAGGTGTAACCACATCTTGCTAGGGGAAGGGAATAAGGGCTGCTTGAGTATACACTGCTGTGCAAACTAACCTTATCTTACGTGTGCGGTATTAAACAAGGCATAAAGTACCACACATGTCAGCAACATTTTAAATATGATTTGATGATGGTAGCTGTGGTTCATGAGGCAGAGCAGGTTGTCTGGTAATGCACATGGAGTGGAGAAGACAAATCAGTGAAGTCAAGGCCATTGGATCTGCTAATCAGTGCCACAAACAACCATGCACATACCAAACATTCTTATTCTGCTGCACACAGTGTCCTGTGTTCACTCAACTTTAAATGACATTGCTTAGACCTCGACTGTATCCAACAACGGTCTGTAAAGTCACATATATGAGAGCAGAATACTACACAGTGAGACTGACATACTTACCACGGAGACTGATTATCTGGCAAGCCCGTCCATTTTCATGCCTGACTTGAATAGTCAGTGTGTGTGCGTGCATGCAATGAACAGTGGTGCTAGTGAGATGTCAGCGTTGTTATTGTTACAGTCTAGTCTCGTGGCCTGAGGCTGTAGGACACACAAACACACTGTCTGACTGGGCCAGTCGTCTCTGCTCGCCGCTCTGTTGTCTTTTCCCATCATCCGTCTCTCTCGCTCGTTGTCACCCACCATTTTCCCTCTTTTTTTAAAAGGCTTCAGATGTAGGCTGGTGCACATGGTTCATTGAATATTGGGAAGCAGCAGCAGTGGAAATTTTTTTTTTTTTTCAGTTGAGAATAAGAGTCTGAGCATTCCTGGCCACCACATCAGCCATTAGGTTGGTTCCACTGTGGAAGTGGGGGGAGATACGCTGTGGTCCATGAAAACACTGTGATGTCTGCGTTACACTAGTTGGATGCCAGTAATGGTTAAGTAAGCAGAATGGTAGGAGGTACAGCATAACGGGAACCCAGCAGTCATTTGTGTGTGTTATGCTCAAATGGGAACCTTATAATTACTGCACTAAGCCCTGGGGGGCCAAAATTGAGGTCTCAATGGCTACAGGCTGCTTTTTGAGGGTTAAACCGTAGTGTTTGAATGAGGTTAGTGTAACACATTTGGGATGGTTAGGGTAAGGGGCTAGTGAAAATATGTCAACGAGTGCCTCCGCAGGGATAGTGGCTGTGTGACTGACAGAAGCGTGTTGAGGATTTGTCTGTACGTTGAATTCATGATGAATCGTGCGAGCCACAGAATAGTGTAACACTTAATTATGAAGGGTTTGAGTTTTAGTAAAAAACAAATGAAATAAAATTAAAATTAAACAAATGAACGTATTTATTTGCACTTACATTTCTGACCAAATAAAAGTACCATTTTAAAAACGCTCAAATTTCAATCAGTATTTTTTCATCCCATTGTTGGTGGGAGGGGTTGGTCTCCCCCAGAACACCTGCTCCCACATCCAAGAAGTCAAGTTCATTTTCACAGAGCAATAGTGATGTCTGCATTTAAACTAATGTTGGCCATTAAATATTGCATATAAAAGACTGGCACAGATACTGACAGAGTGGTGGCATTCATATTTCCCTTCAATGTCTCCAGTTGGGGTAGATGGAGCGACATTCTGGCTCACGGCCGCTTCAAGCGCCCGCTGAAGGAGAGCGATGTGGAAACGATCTGCAGAGCCCTCCTGGCCTACTGTCTGTTACATTACCGTGGAGATGAAAACATCAAAAGTTTCATCTGGGACCTGATCACTCCGAGCGAAGATGGGACCACAAGGACGCTTACCAACCACTCTGGTAACACACGCCTTACTCTCAGCCCTGATTGCACTAAATATACACTGTAGGCAGTTTTAGGGCCTGCTCGGTGGTTACTCGGGAGCGCCCTGAGAATTCAGGGTCTGGGGAAGGAAAAAGAAGAGGCCAAGAACAACAAGTGGAAACATAAACACACTGCAGTTGCAAAATGCTTTCATGTTTTCTGTATGAAACTGTGCTGACTTGTTAACAATGTATCATAAAAGTTGAGAGGTCGTCATTTGTAGAAGCCCCTGACTATTGCCTCACCATCTTCTGTCTTTCCCTTTAGGTCTCTCGACCCCTGTGCCCAGAGGCAGGAAGGGCAAAAAGGGGAAGCCCCAGGCCCCACCTCCACAGACACCGCGTGCTGATTGGCTGGCTAGCTGTAATCCTGACCACTTACTGCAAGAGGATAGCTACAAGAGACACCTGAAGCATCATTGTAACAAGTAAGTCCGTTTTTATGCTTGTCGCATGACAACTTTCCACATTATGATGTTATGATGTTGACAGACACAATCTTTGTGGCGCGTCGGCTAGTCATGCACCTCTTGATTTTTGTAAGTTGATGGCACGGCCGTCGCTGCTGGGTTGAAGACACGATGTTGCAACTGAAAACTAGAGTTTGTGGAAAGAACTTTGGGAATATAAAAGACTGCTCCTCCTGATGCAAAATGGTCAGAGCAGCAACACGTATTGTTTAGGAGAATAGTGCAGAGGCTATAAATGGCTGCATCTATGCGATGATGAAGCGACCACTGCGGAGGGTGTATTGGCACTTCCCAGACATCTAAACGCACGTGGCACATCAGGGCAGCTAGTGGCCAACTTATGTTGCCAGCAGCACGAAGGCATTGTTGTGGGTTCATTTAGATGGAAAGTAAGTGGATGGTACTGTGGCTTTAAAAACAAGATGAAGATGAAAAACAAAACTTTAACGGATGTAGCAGTCTCATGACTTCCCTGTCGCGCACACACTGAGTCATTTGTGTGTGGTCAGCTCTCTCTCCTGTTGTCAGGGAGATATGCTTCCTTGGCCTCACGATTCAATTCCAAGGGTTTTTTTTTTGTTTTTTTTGTCTACAGGGGGAAGTTTGTGTGTGCATGTGCATGTGTGTGTTTTTCTGGCTGCATGCCAGGCCAGGTGCTAGGCAGGCAGACCTGTTGGAAGTGGGTGAAAGACACACACATAAACACAGACACGCACACATACACACACTTGGGGGTGATTATGTGGTGCCATCTGCTAGGCTGGAGCACAGCGTTGTGTGGCTAATCAGACCTGGCACATTGATGGATGAGCACACACAGCCTGCCAACAAACACACACACTCTGCAACTTGTGATGCCATTGATGCACAAACACACAGACATGCTGCAGAATGAGTTGCAAATGACTGTCTTCATACACCAACCCCCCCACCACACACACACACACACTCTTCGCTGCCTCTCCAAACTTTGCGTTAACTCCCCTTTCAGCATTCCTCAGTCCTTTCAATCCATCTCCTCTCTGCACCAACCAACCTAACCTGGCTGTCCTCCCCTTGTCTCCTGCTCCAAACATCCTTACTGGCATTAAATCCCGGTGACAAATCTTGTGACAAATGTTTACAGTGAGCCAGATCTCCCAGATAGCAGCATTTCCAGTGTCAGGAGATCAAATCTGATTCACAGTGTTTGGCTAAACTGATTCATGTTACACGTTAAGGCGTTCAAAGCTAATTATCGTACAGAACATGTTTCATTCTTTTCCAGAGATGACATAATTATTTTGTCCTTAGTGGTAGAAAATGCATAGGAACTATATTTTATATTGAAATATTTGAATTGTATTTTCAAAAGAGAGAACACTGTAACGCAAAATGTGAACCATACAAAATATCTTAAAAGATCCTTTATTTAATACCAGTTAACTACAGAAGATGATTCAGTTTAATTTCTTGATCTCATATGACATGGTCTTGTTCTTGTTTGTCACGTATTTATTGCTTCTTTTCTAGGGTTTACATTATTTTTGTATCTGAAGCCTCATGGTCAGGAAAAACAAGCAATTTGAAAATGTCATGGGAAACTGAGGCATTGTGCTGACATTTAATATGGTTGTTAATGGCTATTTAAAGTTTTGAAAATAAATCACTATCAGGCCAACTGAGTGTTGAGGTGATGGCTTTTTACTAGAAAATAGCACACAACAAAATGTATCTTCATCCATGCTCGGTTGGTGATGCACTTTTGGTGCACGCTGTCTTGGCTGCAGTGCTGTCTGTGCATTTAAATCCTCATTTTAAAGCTTTGTAGACACATTGTCAATGCTGCCATGTATGTATTTGCTTAATGAAACCTCGCTAGCCACCATTTGGCAGATGTGCCATTCTATAATGATCCTTCACTTCACAGACCATCCAAAAGTCTGCTGCCGTTTTAACTTGTTTAAAGAGTTTTTTGTTTTTTAAGTACTTAGCATCTCATCGATAAACAAGCTTTTGTTGCCTCTCCATCTCTGATTAATGCCTGGATCCTATGTTTGCTTTCAGAGCTTGGGTTCACAGTGTCATTCACATCATATCATTGCATTGGGAGTCTAGGAATATTGGTTGTTTATAACAGTCACTGGTGCCTCTGTTTGTTTTCCTTTAAAACTGAAGAAGCATTTGGATCCAGAAATCCCATCAAACACTTGAATAATGGAAAAAGCAATTAATAGAGGGTTTGAAAATGTTGCCTCATTACGAGTTTTTTTTCCTCCAGTACGTCACAGAGCCTGATTGCTAACTCTGTCCTCCTCGTCCTCAGGGTCCTGCTGAGAGTGAGAATGCTGTATTATCTGCGACAGGAAGTCATAGGTGACCAGGCTGAGCGCATCCTGGAAGGTGCAGACTCCAGGTCAGTAGACTTTCTCAGTGCTATTTTCTAATTCTTCACTTTATTGGACAATATCTTTACACACTACAGAAGACTGCACGCACAAATCTTTGTTTTGTGTCTTTTGTTGCTCTCACGAGCCCGTTCTAAACTATTTTGGCATTGTAAATAGTCTCTCAAAAGTTCAGGGATCTTGAGCCTGATCCGTGATCAAATTTAATTAAAATGCTGTAATTGACATAAAAGACACACCCAAGGCCCTCTGCCTTTGTGAAATCTTGCTTTTCCTGCATTTTCTCATGAGGATGTTGGATGCGAGTCAAAGGAAATAAACACAATAAATACCCTGTGCATGAGAGTATTATTCCTAGAAGAACTTTGAGAGGAATGGAGAGGCTTCAAGTATTGGATGCATTATGAAAGTGAGATGAGAGGCGGATATTTATATGAACTTGTGATGAATTATTACTCAAGTATATTTCAGGCTGTTCTAGTGGCCTCTTTGGCAGGGTTCTTTCTATTCTGACAGACACAACACTCAGTTGCTTTATCAGGGGACCGGTCCTTTTATCACACTTTGACCTATTTAGAAGTTTTTTGACAAGCTGTTGCCTATTATGATTTGGCACAAGGCCTCATGGTGCAGAGGTGTGGATGTGAAGGTTAGATATGCTGCTCACCTCAGCAGTCGGCTTCATCTTACTCTGACAGCTCCTTCATGGCTTCCTCCTTTCTTTTCTGTCATACTACCCTTTCCTTGCCATCTGTCCATCCCTGCCTTTTTCTGAAGTGCACTTTAGTCTCTCATCAGCTCCCATCCCCCTTCCGTCACCCTGCCACCCAGATGTGAATGCATTTATAATGTGGAACACATGCACTCCATGTTGATCTCTCTCACCCCCTCTTCTCTGTCCCTCCCCCTTCAGTGGCTACTGTGACTACCGTGTGTGTGTGTGTGTTTGTGTGTATCAGCGCGTGCCAGACGTGAGCATACGGGGTGCCATCGTGCCAACATATGCCAGGGGGATTTAGCATGCCAGTCTTGGTGTGTGTGTGTGTGTTGCCAAGGCTGGGAATGCTGCTGTTTGCAGAGATAAGGGACCGTTTCCCCAGGTTTTTTTTTTTTATCCTCCTGTCATGCTCTGTCTTTCTGCTCCATTGTGTATTGTACCCTTTTCTCCCTGTAACTAGCTGGAAACGCCATTTTCTTTCCATAATGGATGCCTGTTATTTATTTATTTTTTGTTTTGGCGCTACAACATAGAAGAGCTAAGAGTAATTGAAAGTATTCAGCTTATTTACAGGCATGGACAAACCAGATGTCTCGGTCTGGTTGGGGGGGGAAATGGATTTAACCCACCCCGCCCCCCTCGCATGGTCTTAGGCTGAGTTTAGGTACCGTGATGGTAGCATCAGTGTGTTGTTGTTCAGTTGTATCATTAGTTGAGTAAAATGAACCTGCATACAGCTTTACTGTGTTTTAATGCCTGCTTACAGCTGATCGAGCTTCAATGGCCTATCGTCTCAACCTCTCTGCCTTTTTCTCATGCTCTGTTTGAAATAAAGATTGATTCAGTACCAGATCAAACTAAGCCTGCAGAGTTTATTCAGTTGACATTGTTTATCTCTGCCACAGTGTTTTGGACATCTGGATCCCCCAACCGTTTCATGCTGAGGTGCCGGCTGACTGGTGGGACAGTGAAGCTGACAAATCCCTGCTCATCGGCGTCTTCAAACACGGTAGCTTTTTTCACGTTGCCTATACACACAGATCCACACCCTCCAACATGGCAGCCATGAGACTCACAGATAACATGTCAGCACCTACAGACAAACTCCTGCTGCATCCAGGCACAGTGAGCACACACGCACACATGCACGCACACAAACAAACACTACTGTCGAAAGTATTCGTCCCTCCCACTTCTGCTGCCACCAGTTGACTGGTGTTGCTATAGTGATAGCTGTACGCAGCTGGCCGGCTTGGTGTGCTGTTGGGAGTGTGATTGATGGCTACTTTCGCTTCTGTGTGTGTGTATGTGTGTGTGTGCGCGCGCGTCTGCATGCTCTGTCTTAGTCTAGTTTGAGAGTTTCAATAAGAAAACCTCAGTTAACTGTGGAACTGGTTGTTTAGTGCATCATTAATTGACCAGTGGGCCAACTTTAGGTGCAGACTGCGTGTGTGAGTGTAAGAGACCGACGGGGAAGAGTGAAGCGTGTGCGCACGTTGTGGATGGAGACCCTCATTCATATTAATTTGGCATAATTCTCATAATTTTTCCATCATTGCCACCTTCTATGATTCAATTAGGACGCTCACACACTCACACACAGGAATACAAAAGGGCTCACCCGTAGTTAATCATAATCCTCATTCACTCAGGAGGGCCTTCGGGGGGGGTATAAAACACACACAGGTTTGTATGCAGACACAGATTGTGCCACACAAGACAATGTTACACATATGCACAGAAAGAGTGATAGCCTATAAAGACCCCAATAATTAAGTTTGGCTGCGGGCTCAGGGGTGTGTGTGTGACAGAGATGTTGGGAACAATGTGTGACATCTCTCCTAATTGAAATGTGGTGGAAAGAGAAGGAATAAGGGAAAAGCAAAGAGGTGGTGCGGTTGTTACTGCAAGCCTCCTCTTCATGCTCCTCCCTCCCTCCCACCCTCCACCCCACTCTTCTGTATTTTCCTCTCATTCCTTCCATTTTTCTCACCCGTCTTTCTCTCTCCTTCCTGATGTGTCTCAGTAGGATCTGCACATTCTAATCTGTTCTGCCTGAACGCTCCTAACGGACAAACACGCACAGTTTCTCACACTCACTAGCTCACTTTCACAGACTCCAAGACACACACACACACACACTCTTCTCTCCTTTTCCTTTCCATCCCTCCTTGCTCCCCCTCTCCCCCCCGTTTCCCCCTCTGACACAAATGAGCACCTGCAGGCTCACTTGGATAAGCACACACACACACACAGGCAGAACATGGGCAAGTGTACGCACTCAGAAACGTGCACACACAGACTGTCTTGTCAGCAGCTGGCTCCTGGGGTCTGCCCTTCTGCTGCTGTTTTTGTCTATTCCTTCATTTAATATGAAGTGTGTGTGTGGGGGGGGGCATTCTGCCTGTTTAGTATTGAGCTAGAAAGCACAACTTCTCTCTCACCCACCCTTGTAGGAGTTTGCCCGTAGCTGGGTGTGTCTTGAAGGGAAAACCTTTTAGTTATTCTTTTCTAGTTTTGACTATTCTAATCTCTATCCTCCCACACCTGCAGCCGTAGATTTCTGGTGTCTGTTTCTCATGCCTTTCTCTTCCTCTTCAGGCTATGAGAAGTACAACTCAATGCGTGCTGACCCCGCCCTGTGTTTCTTGGAGCGAGTGGGCATGCCAGACGCCAAAGCCATTGCTGCTGAGCAGAGGGGCTCTGACATGATGGCAGATGGTGCTGAGGGGTAAGAAAGCAGGCTTCACTGACCAGCAGCTCTTTACTCTCCTGTCCTTGTAGTATTTTCTGTTTTAGTCCCCATCTCTGTGTTTGATTAGTCACATTGTAATGCCCTTTGAAGTTTGTCCCATTTCCCACTCTGTTGTAACACTTAAGCTTCTTCAAGTGGTGCTCAGAACTCCTGCACGGCCTGGAATGATCTGATTTAAAGTAACAAAGGAATGAATCAGTCTTCCAGAAGGTGAATTTCTAAGTTTTCCCTGTGACTTTCAACAGTGAGGATGAGGATCCCGAATACAAGCCGCTGCGGATGCCCTTTAAAGACGACATGGATGACTTCACCAACTCTCCACTTGATGACAAAGATGAGGGTGTAGAGGGAGAGAATGAAGGTAAACGCCATACAGACAAAGAGGCGAAGGGGTGAAAGGTGGCTTTAACGCACCTACTGATTAATTTAGTAGGTTCCCATCAGTTTATCGCACGAGTGATTCTAGGATCAAAGCTTTGGGGGTGCTGAGGGCATCCAGTCAGTTAGCTAGTTAGTACCTTGGGTCCTTCTCTCACCCCAACCGGTCGCAGCAGATGGCCGCCCCTCCCTGAGCCTGGTTCTGC